TCTTAAACCAGCAGAAATATTCTCCTAGTAAAAAAACCACCTATTTTGTTAACAGTACTCCTGTTTTAACACAGTTTAGCATCCCCTGGTAGTGAGAACTAGCAAATCAAAACCTGCACTCCTGGCTAACTCCTGCCTCTGACTCTGACTTGATTTGGAGTTTGCGAGTACAAGATACGGTTCCCAAAGGATTCTCAAGTTCACCTCATCAGCTTCTTCAGCTCTGCTCTCACAAAAGCTGGAGTGCTACTGACAGAGCAACTAGGGCTTACACAGCCCAACTACCTGACAACAGTTTCATCCCAAGACTCCAGATGGACCACCTGCCTGTCAGCCCATAAGATGTCTCGGTTTTCAACCCATCTGTCTGCAATAGGTAACTCATGGCTTCAAAACCAGTTACAAGCCTGCATTTTTCTCTTTCTCCTCCCCAAAAGGTCACCCTAATTCAGAGGGGAGACACAAGAATACAAAAGGCCATTTGGGTCCCAACACTGGTCTTTTGCTTCAAAATCTACCAAAGTGTCCTGAGAGGGTAAGGAGACATTAACACCATCTAAGGCTCCATGGAAACACATATTCTCCCCCTAATACTTTGCAGTTAGTATGTTTTTCACTGTCCCAATCTGTACCTAAGTTGGGTGCCGGGAAGGTCTCACCCTCTATCCCAAAGTATCTAGGCTTCTACCTTAAAAAAAAAGGCATATTGACTTTGGTTATGGATTGTGACCAAAACCCTTGCTCACAATGCTACCCAGGCCCTGATTGCATAGACTACCAACTACCTCATCCATTTCTTTTAATTACAGATTAATACCAAAGACGCTGCCCCCTAAATCCAGTAGGAGGTACAAGTGAAGAAGAGGAGCATCTCATTGCCCATGCAGTTTGTTGAGCACCCAAGCTAACCATAAGGCCACTAATTGAAATGTAATTTCTTTGGCACATATTACAGAAAAAAACTACTTTACACAGTTGATACTGAATAAGACAATGCTGCATGAAGAACAACATAAGAACATCTGCACATTAATTCCCGCAGTAACAGTTACAAATCTATTTGTGTTTGGTCACCGTAAAAGTAGAAAATATGCCCAGCTACTCCAAACAAGCTGTACATTTCAGGTCAGGGACTGTATGGCACGTTTACATTCAAACTGCATGAGGCCCTTCCAAAAAAATACTTGAGACATTTCCATGGCAATATAGTGGTAAAAAGCTCCTAGATTATGTACTTGATACTTGTTTCTCAGCAGATATTTGCTGCAAAATCAGTGGGGACATGTATGTGCAAAAGCTTGTATTGGAACCAAGAATACAACTATGGAGGTCTTGGTATCCCTGAAGTGAAAAAAAGTGGTCTTGCTAAGTTTCTTGTAAAATCACGTAGTCAAACCATGGTTGAGTATTTAGGGATTCTACCCACACACACACACACACACACACACATACAAAAAAAAAGAACTATTCCCTTGAAAGGAATAGCAGTAACTGGGCTGTATCAGGTTTAAAATACCATATTAAATTTTATTCTTTAATAATGAGGTGTGATGTTTAGTATTCTGACCTATTTTCAGACAATGGTTTAATTAAACATTTAATGAATGCATCTCATTTCTTTGCACGAGTTTCACTCTAATCCACCAAGATAATAATGTAAACATCATTTTTTGATTATTTTCACAAACACTGACCTCCTGACAAACAAAAAGGCTGGTGCCATCTATACAATATGCCCACAGTGCAGGGGCTTAATTTTAGCATAAAACCCAATTTACAGTTGACCATCAGCTTTTAAAAAAATCCTAGGCAAATGGTTTTAAACACAGTGAGGTTTTCACCCAATCCCTCGAAATTTGATTCAATTCATCAAGAAAATTTATAAAAAATCATTCATTTAACCATATAACTGCCTTTAAGAGTGCTGCCCAAGCAGGGATGCAGCAGCAGCTTCAGAATGTCTCCTCAAACAAACTCTGGTATCGGATCAGAGCAACCAAAACCATGACTTTCTTTCAAGTCACAGTCCTGCAGCAGTGGAGGATTTTTATCCAGCTAGTGGAGCTTTTCCAGGAGTTAGTGACTTTGGAAAGGACCATACATTTTCAGTGGGACTTTAATGAAAAATATAGACTTTTTCCCCCTAGCTTTATAACCAAAAAAATCTGAAGTATTTTTGCAAAATGGTGACAAATTTTCAAGACTCCAAGTAAAAAAATCTTAGTGAAATGAGTTGTCAAAACATTTTGAAAATCTGTCAACAGCTCGAATTCTTAGAAACCATGATTTGGTGATGCTTGAAATATTGTCTTGTCCATGCTGAAGCAGCTAAACCACATTCCTTGCTGCTTCAGCTTAGTTTTCTTTTTTTTTTCTTTATGGAAAGTTACTGGTATGCTTTCATATCTATTACGTGATTCCTCAAGCTAATCAGCATCCCACCAGCATCATCCTTTCCCAGGCAGGACATCTCCAGAGAGGCCACCACAGACTCAGTTTCTACTGTTTGGAAAAGACTCAGCCCTGTCACCTAAGGAAACAGGCAGTTTTTCATCCCCACCTATGACCCAAGAAAGGACAATGATGAGAATACGAGTAACACAGACTTTGCTAACTGGCTTCTCACTTAAACACCGCTGACCTTTCACAGTAGGTGAAATTGTTGAGGACTCCAGAGAACTGGACTCTCCTTTTTCAATGTTTCCAACAGGAAAAATATAAAACAACAACAATCCAACCAACCAACCAATCAACCAACCAGTCTCATTTCCCCTGCAAACACAAAAATACCATGAATCCAAAGCCCAATATACATCTACAGCAACAAAATTCCTGCATATTCCAGTAAATTGGCTTAGTTTTACATAGTCTGGCACAGTGGATTGTATGTAATCATTCCTGGATCACCAGAGTGGAAATTATTTCTAACTATAGACATTGTCATTAAATGGTCCATATCTGACCTATTATATTAAGCCCTTGATGATCCATGAGAGACTTTCCACTCTTTTCAATGGGTTTTTGATTAGTTCTTATGTACTTTGACAAATTTTTTTTCTGCTTCTTTTGCCCTTGAGATCTACTATTACTTCTCACATCTATTGGGTTTGTGATTTATTGGTTTAATTATTTTATTTTTACTTAGTATTTATAGTGGGACACAACTGACACTTTGAAATAGGAGACACTTTTTTCTTAAGGGTTGCATGTGGTATTGGTTGCCTTGAGCACAACAAAAGATGAAAATCTTCTTTGATACTTCTAAACACTTTCACTTCTACTGAAAAAAATGCTTTAGGACAAAAGCAATAGTGGCAAAAAGCAAAGTTTAAACATGCTAGTGACTATCAAAATATGATATTTGAGTACTTTGTAAACTAAGTATTTGCATTTTATCAGTGGTCTTTTCCTAGGAAGCACAGTTGTAAACACAAGCTATTTTCTTCACCTGACAAGTTTAAACGATCCTCTAGAAAGGGAGGAAATTCTCCCACTACAGATGTGGCCAAGAGATAACTGCCAGTAATGTGAAATCTCATGGCCAAGCAAAATCTCTCAGATCCAAAATAAGAAATAAATGTGTGAAGAACAGCTATGGAGAAGTCCTAGTGATGGCAAATAGCCCTTTTCTAAAAGACATCAAGTAGCCACCTAGAGACAGCAAACATTTTTCTGTATAAAAAAATAGAACCTAGGCTATAAAAAAACCATAAACCAGGACACAAGCTCCCATCGCAGTGAGACTGACACTGGCAACTGTAAATCGTAGGGAGGATTTGCTCCTCCGAGCCCAGATCTTTCCTACACGTGTTATCATCCCCTACACACACGTTTGCAGGACTGGCATCACTCCCATCCACTTTGCAATATTTTATCAGTGTGAATTCTCATTTTATTTAAAAAATACGAATGTAATTATTTACTTCAAGTCTACCAGGGAAGGACTGCAGTTCTTACTGCAGCGTAACAGATAAGAAAGGCTACAGTGTTTATTACAAGGCAAACAGTGAAGACAGAATCCACCAGATTAGTGTAGGGAGGGTAAGCCACCTTTCATACACTAGCTAAGATTGAATGGGTATTTGGCACCGAACCCAAAATTTATCATTTTCTTGCGTCCAATTTTGTGCAGCCCAAAATCTGGAGTCAGATCAGAAACAACAATTCGCGCACCTTGAAATGGCTAAAATTAATTAATTAGTGCTCCACCGAGCGACATCAACTCCCTCAAAAACATCCCTCTTGGCACGGGGCACGAGAGAAACGGTTTCAAAGCCAAACAACCCCCGCAGCGTCAAAGGCGCATCGCACACACGGCGAGGGAGCGGCCGCGTTTGCCGCGTCCCCCCTTCCCGGGCGCGCCCGAGGGGGCGGCCACCGGCCGGGGCCGCGGTGGCACCGGAGAATTGGGGAGTGGCGGGCAGGGCTGGGCCGGGCCGGGCAGGGCGGCCCCGTCCCGCCCCATCCCTCCCCCCGCGCCGGGCGCGGCGGCGCCCCGGGGGCGCGGCACCGGAGGCTCGGGCGGCCCGGCCCGGGCGGGCGGGCGGCACCGGCGGCAGCGGAGCTGGGCGAGCCTTCCCGCCGGGGATGCGGCTCCCCGGGGGACGCGCCGCACGCTCCCGCCCTCCGCCCGCCGTCGACCGGGCGCCGCGCGGAGCCTCCGCCTCCGCCTCCCCGCGGCGTCTCCCCCGCGGCGGGGCCGCCGCCGCCGCCGCCCCGCATGGCCAGAGCGAGCCGGCCGGGGCGCGCCGCCGAGCCCGCGCCGCAGCAGCCCCCGGCCCCGGGGCCGCGGGGCGTCGGGCTGAGGGCGGGCGGGCGAGGCCAGCGGCCCCGGGGCGCCGCCGCCAGCCGGGCGGGCAGCCCCGCCGGGGGATGACTCAGAGCCGCGGCCCCTGCAGTGAAGCCGCCGCCGCTCCGGGCTCCGCGCGGCGCCGCCCCATGCCCGCGCCCCCCGCCGGGGGCCGCCCGCCGCCCGCCGCGCCCGCCGCGCCGCGCACCGGATGATGCCCCCGCGGGGGGCGACGGGCTCCTGCCGCCGGCGGCGCCTGGCGCCCCTCAACGAGGACAACGGGCGGTTCCTGCTGCTCGCCGCCCTCATCGCGGCGTACCTGAGCGCCGGCGCCACCGTCTTCTCGGCCCTCGAGAGCCCGTCGGAGGCGGAGGCGCAGCTCCGCTGGAACCGGACCCTGCACAACTTCAGCCGCATCTTCAACATCAGCCTGCCGGAGCTGCGCGCCTTCCTGCGGAGCTACGAGGCGGCCATGGCCGCGGGCATCCGCGTCGACGCCCTGCGGCCCCGCTGGGACTTCCCCGGCGCCTTCTATTTCGTGGGCACCGTCGTCTCCACCATAGGTGAGCGCCGCCCCGACGGCCCCGCGGAGGAGACCCGCCCGCCCGGGGGATGCCGCGGCCCGGTCGTTATAGCGACCAAAGTTTGGGAAGAGGCGCTGCCGCGTTGCTGTGACAACCGGGGGCCTCGCAGTAGAGGGGCGTCCGGCTCCCTGTGTCCCCCCTCTCATCTCTCAGCCCGGCGAGTCGCGGTCGCACCGCCCGCCTCGCTGCGCGGAGCCGGGGACCGGAGCTTCTCCCGCCCCGCAGCGCTCCGGCTCCCGCGGGTTCGCAGGACCGCCGGCCGTCGGTGCCCTGGGCCGGCAGCGTCGGGAGTCCCGTCCCTACCCATTAAACTTCTGCTGCCGGCGGCCGGCTTTCGTTCAGCCGGCCCGAAGGAGCGAGCGGGGCTGGCGGGGCCCCGAGCAGGGCTGCCCGCGCTTCCGCCGCGCCGGGATGCGCCTGCCGGGAGAGTGGCTCGGTGTCGGGAGAGGCGGCGCAGGAGCCCGAAAGCAACGGGCTGATGGAGATGCTGAGTGAGAGCCGGGCGTTCGCGGTGCCTGGCCGCTGAACTTGGTAGTGGCTTTAGCTGGTGGCAAAGTTAAGATGTGTATGTGATTAAGGCACAAGCTGTATGTCTTCCAGCTGTAGCATAATACACGTTCTCAGTGTGTCGCTGGTCACAGCTGGCTGCAGTTGTTCGTATCCCGTAGGTGTTTGGGAAGAGCAGCACTTTGTAAGCAAATGGTGAGTTTTGGTAGGGGGATATTTTTTTACTGTAAAATTATTAGGTTTTACTCTAAAATTTCTTACTCTAAACGCGCAATTAAGAACTATTGTATCGGAGATCTAGCCAAAGTAAAGCCATAGCTATCTGCTGGTCTCGGGCTATTGCTTGAGAAATCCCGTCCCTGTGGACACAGGATCTTACCGATCTTAACTGCCAGATTTGTAACAAGCCAACTGTCTTGAGGCTTCTGAGCATAAATGCCTTGTTTCCCCTTTATTAGAGAGGAAGAAGTGCACGGCTCATTATTGCACTTACATTCATTAGGTTCGGGAAATGTTTTGTCAATAGTGACTAATCTGTATAATAGAGTCGTGATGGTGACTCCAGCAGTGTTGTCAGGTATTATTACTTTTGGCATTGAATAGTTCAGTTAACTTTTGTTTTGCAAGTATGTTCGATAGTCCAGTCACTAGAACACCATTTTAATTAAGCACTAAGCCTTCTTCATCGCAGGAACATACATTTAAAAGAGATCATTTTGACTGCCCTGAATGGATGGACGAAAAAAGTCAGTGTTTTAACAAACCTACTCTTTCCTTATACCTGCCGTGGCAAACAGAGAAATCTTCAGGTGATGTGTAAACACATCACTTCCCCACCAGCCCTGGCTTCTCCTCCTTGAGGTTATTGAAATGTAAAACGTGTCTCTTCATTTGCATTTGTTTGCATCTCCATTGCCCCATCTGCAGTCATTTGTACCTGGGCAGAGGGAATGAGGAACTCAGCAGGGGGTTTTGCCAGTCTTGGCCTGTGTAAATGGCTGAACCAAGAATTGTGTTTCTCATATTCCTGTAGCACAACCGAGGGCACCAGGGCACTGCTCTCTCGTTATAGCCAAAAATACCCCTCTCTCTCACATGCGAGAGGGAGGCTGAAGACTGTTTTTCCTGAGAAACAGCAAAGGCCAGGTTATGACAAGGACTCCCCAGGCAGTACCTTCTCTTGGCATTCTATCTGCTAGTGCTTACTCCTGGATTACTTACAGTGCTTTGTGTGAGTTCAGAGAACCTGCTGTGGAACAAGGCTTTGCTCTGGGTGAGGAGATGCAGCAGAAGGTAGCTCAAAGCAGGGCCAAGTTGTGCCTTTGGGCACAGTGAAGGGCATGGCAGAGCTGCTGTGCCGGGGGTGCCAAGCTGCACAACCCATCAGGAGTAGCGTCTCCTGGAGTACCACATGCCAAGGCTGTTGCACTCCATCCTGGAATAGCTTTTACCAGCTACAGGTACAGTTCTTGCAGATGAAGAGGAGCTGCTGCCCCCACCTCAGTGCTTCTCCTTGCATGCCTCTTGAAGCTGCTGCAGCTTGTAGAGGGACAAAGCCCATGGTGAGCTCAGCTGCCTCTCCATGGGCAGGGTTTCTTCCACCACACAGTTTATTCAATTATACTGGCAGCTCTGCCCAGCAAAAGCAAAAAAATCCAGCAAATTAACAAGTTGTCCAGCTAAAACCCAGAACTGTACTGTTAGTCAAATGTGCCCAAAGCTGTCTGGCTCATGGTCCCAAGCAGGGAGAAACCAAATGGTAGGCATCAGAGCGTCACCTGAGGGAGCAGTTCTAGAGTTGTTCTTTTGTGGTCCACTTTTCTCCTCCCAGCCAGCTCATTTATGTACCTACCCACCTGGAGTACCTTTAATTCCACTGTCAGATCACACACCGCATTATCCTGGTTCAGAGCAATTTGACTTGCTTTTGTGTCATGCTTAATTGACAAGAATGGTGTCTTTACTCAACCTCACCAAGAACTACCAGACATCCAGAGTCAAAACAGCTTGCCTTCCTCAACAACCTCATCAGTTACGTGTGTCAAAACAACTTTATTGCTCCAGCTAAACATGCTACTATCCTAGCGATGTGTTGGAAGGCTTTCTTACTCACTGCTTAACAAACAGCAAGTATATGCAATGTCTGTCAAGGGTGAAGCACCCACAGGTTACTCACGTTCTTAGCGGTAGAGGATTCCAACTTAGAGGAATCTCGCTGTGTCTTTTAAAGCCCTCACTCTCCTTTCGACAGTTTTAGTAGAACTACTAAATCTTCCATATGTAGACATCAATATATCATCACAGGGACAGGGCTGCAATTTTTCCTCATGTTTGTGTAAGCTGAACAGAGGGAGAGAGACTCCAGTTCTTCATCATTCTATGAACAAGGGTTAGGCATAGCTAGGCTTGGAGAAAACTGCTCCATCCACCCTCCCTGAGCAGGGCCTTTGCAGAGCTGAGCAGCTCTCCTTCATTAGGTGCTTCCTTGGCTGCAGTTCTGCACTTCCCTTATTACAGAGGGATTCAATCAAATCCTCTGGGTGAAAAACATGTTAGTGGGATCTTTAAGAAAGGAGAGTTAAAATGAAATTATAAGTCTAATATTAAAGCGTTTTGCTGAATAGCCCACAAAGCAAGTGGCTTACAGCCCATAAAACACCCTCTTGATAGCACTCTGGGCATTCATTTTTCTATTATTGCATTGTTTGTGCTTGAATAATGAAATGATGAGTCTATTTTCATTAGATCTTGATTTTTCAGAGCTATGTAAGAAAATTCTTCAGTCTAATTTCTGGTTGTTTGTTGTCAGATTACACCATCTATTCAGTCATTATTTTGCACTCCAAAAGGTAGCATTTTTGTAGGCAGCTATTATTGTTCTGATCTCTTTAAGGAGCAGCTAGGTAAAATTTATTATTGATTCTTTGGTCTATGTGACAGTAGAATTTATTTTTCAGTTGAGTTTTTTCCTTCCTTCTCCAAATGCAAACCATCAGTAGTTCCGAACACTTTGTTAAAGACTGAAAGCAAAAGCATAAGTCAGACCGGTTTTCTTCCTGGTAAAGTATTGCAGAGTACCACATAATCAGTCATAGCTTTCCCCATATTCTAGGAGCACAGATTCATTCTGCCTAGCACATCAGGCAGCTCTGGAATGCCTGAAGCTCTGGATTTCTGACTTCAGTCCATGACACTGTACACAGATTTTTTTTTTCCTCTCTTAAGTATTAGAATAAATCTTAGGTGCCTGTGTAGTAAAACATATTGAGACATAGAGCTATCAAATTTGTATTTTTAGCTTCTTATGTGTAAGAACATATGTTTCAAAAATCCAGTGGTATAATTAATTTATAGAAATCCATACCAGACATTAAAAAATAAGGTCAAGAGAAGTACTTCAAAATGTAAAAGTGATTTTTCAATATAATATTTTTTAAAGGACCGTTACTGTGGGCAGACTTTTTTGGGATGGAACATGTCTGGGTTACATGTGCTTGAGAAGGGCCTCAGGAAGAAAAGATACGAGGATCCTCTCCCTGTACAGCTGTGTGGAGGCTACAGGTGTTCAGGGCACAGTGTGTAGGAGTGAGCAAGACTGTTCATCCTTTCCTTGTCCCTGAGGTATCCTGTTAAATGACTCAATATTCCAGTGGACTGACAGCTCCACACAAAGGGAGGGGGTATGTTCTGCTCTTACCTTAAATGAAAGACACAATGTTCGGTGTTTTCTGCCATCTCACTGGCTTCTGGGAGCTGTTCTCTCCTTGCTTAGGATGTCAGCTGGGTTGGAGCTGCTTCTCTCTGGGTCCTCTGTAGGGACCCATCGTACTCAGCTTGTCATTTCTGCTTGTGCTCCACAACCTAAGCACCATAACCACTCAATTCTAAAATATCCTCTGGCTCTGTGTAGTAGTCTTGTTAGAAAATCTGGTGGTCCAGGTGTTCTGGAGGTGATAATTTAATACAAGTGATGTGCAAAATACAGTTGGACAGCTCAGCAAGCGAATGGTCAGCTCTTGGACTGCACAGCTAGGAGCCAGGGAGTGAGCCTGCGAGAGCAGGCACTTCGTAGCATAATTTGGCAAGAAATTTCACAAATAATTGAGATGATCTGAAGGTTTTAAGGGGAAAGGATATTTGTCCTGTCTTCTTCAATGCTGTATTTCAGGATATGAATTTGAGCCGTAGCCACAGGAGGTTCTGGCTCTCTGCTCTCCGTGAATGCAGTCTCACTGTCTATACAGCCAATGCAACCAAAAGGCAACAGCCAAACCGGAGTGTAGACCTGATCAGCATCAGTGTTATGCTCCTCAGGGCTCTGCAATTCCCTGAGGCTTGTACAGGCAGCTTTTGGGAAGCTTCAGATTAGGGAGAGAGTTGCCTCCATAGCTGACCTTCCTAAAGTTAAGAAATAATCAAACAAAACCAAATGAGAAAGCAGCTGGAAGAGCAAGCAGTATTATTAAGCTGCA